GCTATCAGACAATGAAAATTTGTTTAAAATGAAAATAAAAATTAATTTTTTCTAAATTTAATAATTCTAATCATCTGAAAATTACCAGAGTTCTAGTAGGGACTGAGCCCTACTTATTCGTAAAGCATAGAGAATTTTCTTTCAATTTTTAAGTAGTAGCACCCTCACCCGAACGCTATCAGACAATCAAAAATTGTTTAAAATGAAAATAAAAATTAATTTTTTCTAAATTTAATAATTCTACTCATCTGAAACTTACCAGAGTTCTAGTAGGGACTGAGCCCAACCCAATCCAAAAGAATAGAGAATTTTATTTTAATTTTTAAGTAGTAGCAGGTCCACCCGAACGCTATCAGACAATCAAAATTTGTTTAAAATGAAAATAAAAATTAATTTTCTAAATTTAATAATTCTACTCGTCTGAAAATTACCAGAGTTCTAGTAGGGACTGAGCCCAACCCAATCCTAAAGAATAGAGAATTTTATTTTAATTTTTAAGTAGTAGCACCCTCACCCGAACGCTATCAGACAATCAAAATTTGTTTAAAATGAAAATAAAAATTAATTTTTTCTAAATTTAATAATTCTACTCGTCTGAAAATTACCAGAGTTCTAGTAGGGACTGAGCCCTACTTATTCGTAAAGCATAGAGAATTTTCTTTCAATTTTTAAGTAGTAGCACCCTCACCCGAACGCTATCAGACAATGAAAATTTGTTTAAAATGAAAATAAAAATTAATTTTTTCTAAATTTAATAATTCTTCTCGTCTGAAAATTACCAGAGTTCTAGTAGGGACTGAGCCCAACCTAATCCTAAAGAATAGAGAATTTTATTTCAATTTTTAAGTAGTAGCAGGTCCACCCGAACGCTATCAGACAATGAAAATTTGTTTAAAATGAAAATAAAAATTAATTTTTTCTAAATTTAATAATTCTACTCATCTGAAACTTACCAGAGTTCTAGTAGGGACTGAGCCCAACCCAATCCAAAAGAATAGAGAATTTTATTTTAATTTTTAAGTAGTAGCAGGTCCACCCGAACGCTATCAGACAATCAAAATTTGTTTAAAATGAAAATAAAAATTAATTTTTTCTAAATTTAATAATTCTACTCGTCTGAAAATTACCAGAGTTCTAGTAGGGACTGAGCCCAACCCAATCCAAAAGAATAGAGAATTTAATTTCAATTTTTAAGTAGTAGCACCCTCACCCGAACGCTATCAGACAATGAAAATTAGTTTAAAATGAAAATAAAAATTAATTTTTTCTAAATTTAATAATTCTTCTCGTCTGAAAATTACCAGAGTTCTAGTAGGGACTGAGCCCAACCTAATCCTAAAGAATAGAGAATTTTATTTCAATTTTTAAGTAGTAGCAGGTCCACCCGAACGCTATCAGACAATGAAAATTTGTTTAAAATGAAAATAAAAATTAATTTTTTCTAAATTTAATAATTCTACTCGTCTGAAAATTACCAGAGTTCTAGTAGGGACTGAGCCCAACCTAATCCAAAATAATAGAGAATTTTATTTCAATTTTTAAGTAGTAGCAGGTCCACCCGAACGCTATCAGACAATGAAAATTTGTTTAAAATGAAAATAAAAATTAATTTTTTCTAAATTTAATAATTCTACTCATCTGAAACTTACCAGAGTTCTAGTAGGGACTGAGCCCAACCTAATCCTAAAGAATAGAGAATTTTATTTCAATTTTTAAGTAGTAGCAGGTCCACCCGAACGCTATCAGACAATGAAAATTTGTTTAAAATGAAAATAAAAATTAATTTTTTCTAAATTTAATAATTCTACTCATCTGAAACTTACCAGAGTTCTAGTAGGGACTGAGCCGAACCCAATCCTAAAGAATAGAGAATTTTATTTCAATTTTTAAGTAGTAGCAGGTCCACCCGAACGCAATCAGACAATCAAAATTTGTTTAAAATGAAAATAAAAATTAATTTTTTCTAAATTTAATAATTCTACTCATCTGAAACTTACCAGAGTTCTAGTAGGGACTGAGCCCAACCCAATCCAAAAGAATAGAGAATTTAATTTCAATTTTTAAGTAGTAGCACCCTCACCCGAACGCTATCAGACAATGAAAATTAGTTTAAAATGAAAATAAAAATTAATTTTTTCTAAATTTAATAATTCTACTCGTCTGAAAATTACCAGAGTTCTAGTAGGGACTGAGCCCAACCTAATCCAAAATAATAGAGAATTTAATTTCAATTTTTAAGTAGTAGCAGGTCCACCCGAACGCTATCAGACAATGAAAATTTGTTTAAAATGAAAATAAAAATTAATTTTTTCTAAATTTAATAATTCTTTTCGTCTGAAAATTACCAGAGTTCTAGTAGGGACTGAGCCCAACCTAATCCTAAAGAATAGAGAATTTTATTTCAATTTTTAAGTAGTAGCAGGTCCACCCGAACGCTATCAGACAATCAAAATTTGTTTAAAATGAAAATAAAAATTAATTTTTTCTAAATTTAATAATTCTACTCATCTGAAACTTACCAGAGTTCTAGTAGGGACTAAGCCCAACCCAATCCAAAAGAATAGAGAATTTTATTTTAATTTTTAAGTAGTAGCACCCTCACCCGAACGCTATCAGACAATCAAAATTTGTTTAAAATGAAAATAAAAATTAATTTTTTCTAAATTTAATAATTCTACTCATCTGAAAATTACCAGAGTTCTAGTAGGGACTGAGCCCAACCCAATCCTAAAGAATAGAGAATTTTATTTTAATTTTTAAGTAGTAGCACCCTCACCCGAACGCTATCAGACAATCAAAATTTGTTTAAAATGAAAATAAAAATTAATTTTTTCTAAATTTAATAATTCTACTCGTCTGAAAATTACCAGAGTTCTAGTAGGGACTGAGCCCAACCCAATCCAAAAGAATAGAGAATTTAATTTCAATTTTTAAGTAGTAGCAGGTCCACCCGAACGCTATCAGACAATCAAAATTTGTTTAAAATGAAAATAAAAATTAATTTTTTCTAAATTTAATAATTCTACTCATCTGAAACTTACCAGAGTTCTAGTAGGGACTGAGCCCAACCCAATCCAAAAGAATAGAGAATTTAATTTCAATTTTTAAGTAGTAGCAGGTCCACCCGAACGCTATCAGACAATCAAAATTTGTTTAAAATGAAAATAAAAATTAATTTTTTCTAAATTTAATAATTCTACTCGTCTGAAAATTACCAGAGCTCTAGTAGGGACTGAGCCCAACCCAATCCTAAAGAATAGAGAATTTTATTTCAATTTTTAAGTAGTAGCACCCTCACCCGAACGCTATCAGACAATGAAAATTAGTTTAAAATGAAAATAAAAATTAATTTTTTCTAAATTTAATAATTCTACTCGTCTTAAAATTACCAGAGTTCTAGTAGGGACTAAGCTGAACCCAATCCTAAAGAATAGAGAATTTAATTTCAATTTTTAAGTAGTAGCAGGTCCACCCGAACGCTATCAGACAATGAAAATTTGTTTAAAATGAAAATAAAAATTAATTTTTTCTAAATTTAATAATTCTACTCATCTGAAAATTACCAGAGTTCTAGTAGGGACTGAGCCCAACCTAATCCAAAATAATAGAGAATTTAATTTCAATTTTTAAGTAGTAGCAGGTCCACCCGAACGCTATCAGACAATCAAAATTTGTTTAAAATGAAAATAAAAATTAATTTTTTCTAAATTTAATAATTCTTCTCGTCTGAAAATTACCAGAGTTCTAGTAGGGACTGAGCCCAACCTAATCCTAAAGAATAGAGAATTTTATTTCAATTTTTAAGTAGTAGCAGGTCCACCCGAACGCTATCAGACAATGAAAATTTGTTTAAAATGAAAATAAAAATTAATTTTTTCTAAATTTAATAATTCTACTCATCTGAAACTTACCAGAGTTCTAGTAGGGACTGAGCCCAACCCAATCCAAAAGAATAGAGAATTTTATTTTAATTTTTAAGTAGTAGCAGGTCCACCCGAACGCTATCAGACAATCAAAATTTGTTTAAAATGAAAATAAAAATTAATTTTTTCTAAATTTAATAATTCTTCTCGTCTGAAAATTACCAGAGTTCTAGTAGGGACTGAGCCCAACCTAATCCTAAAGAATAGAGAATTTTATTTCAATTTTTAAGTAGTAGCAGGTCCACCCGAACGCTATCAGACAATGAAAATTTGTTTAAAATGAAAATAAAAATTAATTTTTTTTAAATTTAATAATTCTACTCATCTGAAACTTACCAGAGTTCTAGTAGGGACTGAGCCCAACCCAATCCAAAAGAATAGAGAATTTAATTTCAATTTTTAAGTAGTAAAACCTTCACCCGAATGCCATCAGACAATCAAAATTTGTTTAAAATGAAAATAAAAATTAATTTTTTCTAAATTTAATAATTCTACTCATATGAAAATTACAAGAGTTCTAGTAGGGACTAAGCCCTACTTAATCGTAAAGAATAGAGAATTTTATTTCAATTTTTAAGTAGTAGCACCCTCACCCGAACGCTATCAGACAATCAAAATTTGTTTAAAATGAAAATAAAAATTAATTTTTTTTAAATTTAATAATTCTACTCATCTGAAACTTACCAGAGTTCTAGTAGGGACTGAGCCCAACCCAATCCAAAAGAATAGAGAATTTTCTTTCAATTTTTAAGTAGTAGCACCCTCACCCGAACGCTATCAGACAATCAATGTATAATCGAGTTCGAAGTCTGAAATTCTTTATTAAAAGTTCCTTTTAAATTGTATTTTGAAAGTGTCTTTTATTGAATATATTTAATGTAATGAAGAGTTTGAAATGTTTATTGATTCTTTTTCTGTTATTTTACTCTAAAAATTATAAACATATCCTAGTTATTTGCTTCTTATTTATTTTTCTTGGGAGCACGTCACAAATTCATTTTTTTAGTTAAGTTCGATTATTTTAAGTTTAGTGAATTTATACTAAAACTAATTGTTTTGGACTACAATTAAAAATTATTTTTTGCGCAGCCACAGCCAATTGATCCGATGTTGAAGCAGTGTATGGGCAATTTCTTGGCGTCATTGGAAGATCCCGATCTCAATGTTAGAAGAGTTTCTTTGGTTGCTTTCAATTCAGCGGCTCATAACAAACCGATGCTGATACGTGATCTTCTCGACACAGTTTTACCGAAGCTTTACACTGAAACAATGATAAAGGTAATATTTTCATGTTTTGAACTTATCTAATAAAACATACTGTTTACTATTTGGATACTTTTTTGCATTTGTGACACTAAAAGATAATTCTTTTTTTGAGAATTGGCAAAACTTTGAATTTACTAATAGTTGCAATAAAAAAATTATTTATTATTCTAAAAGTTATAATAAAATTCTTACAAACGATTCAAAAAATGTTAATAAATCTCTTTGATTTTTAGTCAAAATTTTTATAACAACGCTACTTTTGTTTTAAAATTACATGAATTTTACAATGTTACAAAGTAAATTTCAGAAAAAAATTAGTAAAATTAGCTTGGGACTTGGAAAAATTTCCTTCAAAAGTAGTAAAATTTAATATTAAGAATTGTTATTTCCGGAATAAATTTTATTATTTGCAGAGACAATTTTCTTTATAAAAATTATAAAAATTGATTTCAAAAATAGTGGAATTTACTTTAAAAATAAGAATATTTAATAGCTAATTGTTAGGTTACAGGATAATTTGAATAATTTTTATTAAAAAAAATTGACATTGAAAATAGGAAATTTTGTCCTGTTAAAATGTATCCACAGTAAAGTAATTTACATCTGACTTATGTCAATTTGTTCCTCTTCGTTTACAGAAAGAATTAATCAGAGAAGTTGAAATGGGACCGTTCAAACACACAGTGGATGATGGTTTAGATCTGAGAAAAGCAGCGTTTGAATGTATGTATACATTATTGGATTCCTGTCTCGATCGAATCGATGTTTTCGAATTTTTGAACTACGTGGAGAATGGTTTGAGAGACCATTACGATATAAAAATGTTGACTTACCTCATGACAGCACGCTTAGCCCAACTGTGCCCTACAGCCGTACTACAAAGTAAGAACAATTTTCTACCATTCATTTTTTCTTGGAAAAACTCGATTTAATCTCTATTCAATCAATGAATTTTTTTTTAATTTATACGGAAATTATGAAATAATGTGTCTTGTTTTTGTTACTATTTCAGGATTAGAAAGACTTGTAGAACCCTTAAAGAGTACTTGCACCATGAAAGTGAAGGCGAACTCTGTCAAGCAGGAATATGAGAAACAAGACGAATTAAAGCGTTCTGCATTGCGAGCCGTTGCTGCTTTACTCACAATTTCTGATGCTGGTAAGAATTAAATTTTTATTCTCTTGCAAAATAATAATCGACATTTATTTTTTATGTGTTGAAAAAATACTTATCCCAACAAAAACAGGGCTTGAACCAGTGAAAATATTTAAAAATACGGACTCTACGGACCAATTACTGACAAAAATATAACCAGTTCGAGTCAAATAAGAGAACATTTTACTTAAAGCTATAAATTAAATTTACTTGAGTTATAAAATTTAAATAATCGATTTAACGTTGGAAATATAAAGATTTTGAAATTACAAGCACACATTTTAGTTATAAACAATTATCCTAGGAATAAATTTAGAAATCGTAATTAAATATTTTAATTCTCCTTTCAGACAAGAATCCAGCACTAAATGAATTTGTGTCTCAAATCAAGGCAACAGTTGAACTTCAACCTTTGTTCGATATGATTCAAAAAGATTGTTCGGGTAACAATATTAACGAAACGAATGTTATGGATCAGAGTTAAAAGGGACTATTTAAACCTTTTTAATTTAATAACGCTGCTAAAGATACATAATTTATGTTTTTTTTCTATATATTATTTTTTAATATCACTTCTTAAATAAGCGTAGTTCAGATTTAATATGATTTCATGTAAGGCACCATGTATAAATTTGAAAATAAATTCATCGGATCGTAAGTATTTTCTTTGGCCTTTATTTACCTCAATCCACAAAATATTATCTCTAAATCGCATATTGTCATTTTTTACACGAGAGAGAAAAGAAATTGTAAAACTTTTTACTTAGGAGACAACAGACTTCTCACTCGATGATTAATTTTAAAAAGTAGCAAAAAGTATCTTTTAAACTAAAAAAAGTAGCTATCGAAAAATATAACTTAAAGACAAGAAAAACTCATTTTAGACACTTCACAAAACTGACAAAAATTCCATTCTATATTTTATTCCTTTTTCTAAAATTTCTAATGAAATTCATTTTAAAATAAATTTTTATTAGAAATTCTACGAGTATTCAATTATTTAACTACAAAAGTAAAAAATAGAAAGTTTCTGGAAATTGAATTCTTCTATTAAGAAATTTTTAAATAATTGAATTCTTGCAACGAATTTCAATAAATTCTTGTAAAAAATTTTACTACATATTTATGAAAATAATTAAATGTTTGCGTAAAATATTTACTTCTTTCTTATCCTGATAATAAATGGAATATCTGCAACATTTGAATTGTGAAAAGTTTTTAAAAATAATTAAATTTTACAAAGAATTCAATTAAAATTTCTGACAATAAGTGAATATCTGTGTAATATTTTATTATTTGTGAAAATAATTGAATTCTTGCGAACAATTATTTTTCCGACATTTTGAATTTTTGAAAACTGACATCGGATTCGTAATAGGCGACCCGAAAACCCCCGAGTAACAAATTTTAGGCGAATTTGGTTGATTTTTAAATTGTTTTGTTTTTTGGGGTAGTTTTCGTTAATTGTTTTTACCCTGAAAAGGTTTTCATTATGAAAGGACTTGTGAGACAATAAAATAGCTCTGTCATGTAAATTGTAAGCAATGTTCTTCTTTTGTTGAATTGGATGACGTGAAAAATAATTTATCAATCTATTAGAAGAAATGGATTTTTGATACCAATTAGTGATGAGTTGATTATTGTGATTATTTTGATTATGACTATCTAGAAAATTTATTTTATTATCCATTTCTAATTCATGAGTGAATTTTAAATTAATATTGAACGATTTAAAAGTATCAATGTAAAGTTTGACTTGATCTTTATGGACGCGCAATTGTTTCCGCATTCGGGTATAAATAAGAGGCAAATAAAATGATGATACGTTATAATTAAATAGTTTTATTATATATTTTTAAAATTTATATTTTAACATTAGCCAATGAAATTGGTCATAATGGAAAATAGTGCATTATGGTATAACACACGATGTTTCTTGACATTTAAGTAAATTTGCATCTTCCCTAAAAATCAGAAATATTTTTTTTGACACATAATTATTGTTTATGAGATTTTTTGGCATATTGGAATAAAATGTTTGCCAGTCTCTTAAAACACTATTTTCGTTATTCTTGTAATCGTTGTTAATTGTGAAACGTAAATATGCTATCCATCTGTTCGTAGAAAACAAAGATTCCCTAATAATAGATAAAGAATTTTGAGCAAGTGCTTTCGCTTTCTTTATATCATCCGATTCCTTATTTACCACTTTTAGCATGCCCTCAATATAGTTTATTTTTATAAAGCAATAGAGTTTAAAAACTTTTAATAATCGATTATCACTACAAATATAGTTGAAATTTTTATCTTCCAATCTATTTATGTCTACTAAGAACCTATTAACAAAAGATGTTATTAATCTCTCATAGTAATACAAATCACTCAATTTATTAATTTTTAAATCCACCTGATTGTTTTTACTAATTTCCTGGGAATATAGGAACTGTAAGTTTTTAAATAATTCTTCCGAGTAGTAAGAAAGTTTTACTTGTTTTGAGTAGTTATAAAACCTATTGGAGTATGTAAAAGAATCTTCGTATTTCTGTTGTAGATCGTGGTCATTTAAAAATTCAGAAAATTTCTCATAAAAAGTAGCATATGGACGAAAATATGCTGAATTTTCGATTTCAAATTCTTTATGTAGTTTAATTAAATGATAGGGATTTACGAAATGCTTCTCACAGTTTTCATCATCGCTTTTACAAAACATTGGTAGCGCAGGAATGACTAAGTCATTATAACCATTCTTAATATCTTGATCAAAAGAAAAATGACTTGAAAAGTTTACAAAATAGAATAAGACTTTGGAATAATCATTTATCATCTTGTACTCAAAGTAGGTAGTCATTGTGTCGAATTGTTTGGTAACCGTGAAAGGGTAGATATAATAATGAGTATCGTTGGATTCAATTAGATAAATATTTTTCATAATTATCTCGTACAGAAATTGTTCTGTATGATGAAGATCTTCTCGTTTTAATTTTGGTAATACTCTGCTGGCATTAATTTGTTTAGTAATTTCGAGCCCTGTTCTCATATGATCAACGACAATTATTACTAATTTCTTGAATTTCACGTCAAAAATTAAATCATCAATTGTTTCCCAATGTTTGTAGATTGTATCAATTGAGTTGTACGTTGGCGAATGCTTGATATTGTCGTTTTCCCTCTGTAGAATGAAAATATTTATGGTTATAATATATAAAATTAAACGTTTTATTATTTTTAATCTATATTAATAAAATCAGACTTTTGTCAGAGCATTGCTCAAATTTAATTATTTCTTGCATAATTCATCATATTTTTAGTAGTAAAAATTTGAAATATGAAAATTAAAAAATATTAATCTGAACGAAACTTTTGACTAACCAATTAGTGCCACTAATTTTTCGATGGAGATATTTTTATATTGCATATCAATAATTTTCTTGTATTTTCAAACCAAAACATGACCCCAAAGTTGATTTTGCAAAATTTTAATTTTTTTTAACACTTATTGTTTAAACAATTTTTAAACATCAAATTATTGAAACATTTTTTCCTACCGATCTATTTGATGGATTTTAATAAAATTTGGTATAAGTAATATACAATAATCATATACATATACCTTCGAACAAAAAATATTTTTTTGATTTTGTTCATAATTTTTTTAAATTAAGTAAGTATTAAAAAAATTGTTTCTAAGATTACAAATTGTTATAGACAAATTAATTAAACAATTAGACCAAAAAAGTTTTAGTCAAAAAAATGTTCTGTTACATTTATTTACAAATTTCTTTCAAATTTTTCGAAAACATCAATAACTTCTTTTTAAAATAAATATTTAATTATTATTTTTCCATAGGAAATAAAATTCTTCAAAAGATTCAAATTCAAACCTTTTTGAAATTAAACAACTTATAAAAAATTGTTATAAAACATGAAAAAATCGATCACTCCGAGTCTTCGACTAGGAGAAATCAATATCTTCATGTTTCATAATAATTAAAGATGCCCGAGTGATAAAATCATTATTTTATATTAAAAGACTTTATAAAAAAAAAAATTTTAATTATTTTTTATGAAAATAATTGAATTATTGGGAAGAAATTTATAAAACATTAGTAAGTAATTGAATTTTGCAGAAGAATTTTGATATTTATAAAGATAATAATTGAAGTTTTGAGGAGAATTTAAAAAAAATTTTTGAAAATAATTGAATTTTGCAAAGAATTTTATCAGAACTTTTGAAAATAATTAAATTTCCATCATGAATTTTATTAATTAATGAAGATAATGACGAGAAATTTAAAAAAAATTTTGAATATAATTGAATTTCTGCGAAGTATTTTATTGCTTTTGAAAATTTTTTTTTTTTTTTTTTTTTTTTTTTTCTTAAATGACTTGAGGCTTGGCCAACTGTCAGAACACACACTCTTATATACCAACTTGATTTTGCGTTTCTACAGAACGACTTTGAGGTTAGGAGTACTCGCATTTGCCTGGACCACCCGTCTAAATGGGTTTTCTCGCCAGTGGAGAGGGAAACTGTAGAAAACCTCTCCGAGTACAACCGGTTTATCGACAGTCGAATTCTAATGGTGTGTACCGGACAATAATCGACGGTGCACATCATTATACTTCGACGTCAAACCTCCCGCTCAGATTATCTCACGTGCCGGAAAAATCCCAGGCTAATGGGCGCGAACCAAGTACCCTGGCACGCTTCAGAAATTTTGAGCCATAATAGTGATGGCAACCCTGACATAAGGTTCTTTGAAAAAGATTGTTAAGTATATAATTTAATAACTTACCATTAAAGCATACTCGACATAGTTGTAGACAGTACTCATTACATTCCCCCAATTCTCATTTACATTTTGAATTTCCCCACTCAGCCTGCGAAATACTTGTAACCTTAAATCTATATCTGTAATATATTCATATTTGTAGAGTGAAATCAAATCATTGAACCATTCTAGTTGACTTATCAGTGAGTTTGCAACAAGTCGCTTTAGTGTATCTATCGACGCTGTTATATCCTGAGATGTTATACCAGTTACATTTTTTATAAAACAAAATAGTTCAAGTACTTTTATTTTGTGTCGATATTCACAGAGATTGCCAAACGAAGTATCGTTACTACTCAATGAAGATACAGTTTGATTAATCCAATTTAAATAATCAATTCCAATCATAGCGCATTTCGAATATTGTTGACAGTTAATATTTTTATCGAAAACTTCGTCCGTCACTTCTAGATGTCTCGATTGCAAGCAGGATAAACTTTTTTCCACAATACTTATCTTTTTCTCATTTTCTGCACTGTTGGCATTGTTTTGAATTTGTTGCAGTAAGGAGTTAAAATGCCATAAACTCTCACTTTGAGAAATGAAGTTGAATCCATTTGAATCACAAATGTCATAATTATTCTGGGCTTTAATGGAAAAATAGTTACTCTCCTTATTTCCAAACAATTGTTCTCGTAGTTCGAATAATTCTGAGAAGCTTTCACCTCTCTGCAGTTTATTGTTTACATACTCACTAAGAGTACAATTTGGCCAGTTTGGATTCAGAGGAATAAAAATATCTTCAAAAAAGGAATATCCCTTGAGTACGTTAACAAAGTTGAAGGTAACACCCAAAGAATCATTTAGAAGCATTTTTTGAAAATATATAGTAAAAACATTGTCTAGAATGTTTACCGGATAAACGAAATAATTTTGGTTATTGGCTTTGAATAGATAAAAATGTTCCTGAATTGTGTGATATAAGTGACTGAAGTAAGTACTGTTCTTCATTTCATTATTATCAGGTAATATTCTTCTCCACTGAGTTAATTGTTTAACTCTGTTTATGCCGTCAATAAATTCAGCTGCTATAACTACTACTAACGGCTTATAATTTTCCTTGAACAGCAAATTATTGATTTCTTCGGAATAATCGTAAAGAGTGCAAACGTCATTGTCAAAAAGTGATGAGTTTCTTCCGATTTCTTCTGCCTGAAAAACCCTTATTTTAAAAAAACATTCTTAAATTTTAAGATTATATGATTTTGGTTCCACTGTTATAGAATTTGGCCTCAGATTTTAAAAACTAAAAATTGCATAATAAAGAAAACGTTGAAAGAATGTAAAATTTCGAAAATGTAATATATATATCCGAGGAATAATCGATTTTCATAAATTTACACTTGAAGATTTTTCATTAAATTTTTTCGAGAATTCAATTATTTTCTCAAAATTTGCAATTAAATTTTTTCAAAAATTGTAATAATAAGACTTGAAAAAAATCAATTATTTTCTATTAAATTTTACAAAATTTCAATTAATTTCAAATCGTTTTAATTGTATATTAATCGAATTCATTCAATTTTAAAATTTTGTCCTCTATATTGAATCCGACATTTTTAATTTTGCCAAACAAATTTTTTTTCTTAAAAATTGATCAAAACCGCTTGAAATTGGTTACTCGAGGGTTTTCGGAGTCGCTGATCGAGAATCTTTGGTATTATGTCAAATTCGCAATCAGCGACTCCGAAAACCCCTGAGTAACAAGTTTCATGTGATTTAGTTTAATTACTTCTTACAATCTAAACTGAAAAAAATTATTTGATTTAATTAAATGGTTTATTTGTCTATTATACATTTTTAGTATAAATTGCAAATTATTTCGATTTTCTAGAGTGAAAAATAACTGGACAAATGTTTCAAAAATTAATTTTCAATAATTGTTCTTATCAACTTTTCGAAATATACAATTAAAACGATTTGGAATTAATTGAAATTTTGTCAAATTTAATTGAAAATAATTGATTTTTTTCAAGTCTTATTATTACAATTTTTGAAAAAATTTAATTGCAAATTTTGAGAAAATAATTGAATTCTCAAAAAAATTTAATGAAAAATCTTCAAGTGTAAATTTATGAAAATTAAAATTAATGAAAACTAGCTTCTAAAAAATAATATTAACATTTTTAAAAAAAAAGTAATTCTTAGAATTTTTTTTATTATAAATTTTTAAAATTCAATTATTTTCAATATTTTCAAAAATATAATTCCAAAAATTTAAATACATATATGTATTTAAATTTTTGGAATTATATTTAAGATTATTTGGAGAAGACACAATCTTTGTGAAAATTTTTAATTAAAATTCTTCTAAAAATTGGTTACTTTTTTTCACATTATACAGAAATTTTTCAATCATTTTCGAAAAATTACATTAGAATATTTTTAAGAAACTAATTCTTAGAATTGTTTTATCATAATTTTGAAAGATTTACTTATCTACGTACTAACAAAGTAAATTAAATTTTTCGCAAAAATCCAATTATTTTTAAAATATTTTGTCAAGAATTTCAATTATTTTTAAACGATTTTACCAAAATTCAATATTGTTTTTAAAATATTTAATCAAATTTCAATTATTTTTAAAAGATTTTACTGAAATTCAAATGTCGGGAAAGTTTTTAATTGTACATATATGTAAAATTTTCTTTTCTTTTTAAAAAATTTTTTTTTTTCGTGAAATTTTCACTCAAAATTTTTTTTTAATTTAAACAATTTTTTTCGAATTCTATATGAAAAATAAGTAAATACCTGTTTTTTTATTTTTTTATTTGATCAAAATTACAGAAGTTGTGATTTTTTTTTATTTAACGTCTTCAGAAGCAGATCGCAGATGAATTTTGAAACACTTTTTTGTCTGTTATAATATAAAAGATAAAAAATAATATAATATATGCAAAAAATTTGTTTTTTCTTAAATATTTTAAATATGTAATAAAAAATAACGTTTATAAAGCGAAAATATTAAATAAATTAAGATTACGTCTAAAAAGTGACTTTTCTCAAAACCGAAGTAATCGATTTTCGATTTATTTCTTTCATTACAATCACTGATAAATAAATACATTTTTCTCTCTCATGTCAAAGTGGTGTTCTTAAGGGATAAAATGATATTTAAAATTATATCAGTAGTTGCAAAGTTTTATTCGTCTTTTACACTTGTTAAAAATTCACCTTCAATTACAAAAGAAAACAAATGCCTTACTAATGGAATGAAGTTATGAAGTAGTTTAATTTCTCAATTTCTTTTACTAAACTCTGTGCAATGATTGATATAATTTTAAATATCATTTTATCCCTTAAGAACACCACTTTGACATAAGAGAGAAAAATGTATTTATTTATCAGTGATTGGAATGAAAGAAAAAAATCGAAAATCGTTTACTTCGGTTTTGAGAAAAGTCACTTTTTCGACGTATGTAATTTTAATTTATTTAATATTTTCGCTCTATTAACGTTATTTTTTTTTATTACATATTTGAAATATTCAAGAAAAAACTAATTTTTTGTATATATTATATTATTTTTTATCTTTTGTTATAACAGAGAAAAAAGTGTTTCAAAATTCATCTGCGATCTGCTTCTGAAGACGTTAAATTTAAAAAAATCACAACTTCCGTATAATTTTGATCAAATAGAAAAATAAAAAAACAGGTAGGGTCATTTGGGGTAAATGTAAACGGAATATCTATTTTTCACGAAAAACATTATTAGTGAAGAATTACATATTTTTGTTTGATTTTTAAATTTATTTTTATGCAAATGCGAGACAAAATACTGAAACAGTAAAACTTTGATTTTCAATCTTTTTTGCATTAAAAAATAACTTACACTATGGCATTGCCAATTGTCAAAATAAAATATTGACAATACTCAGAACATCTTGTAGGTGAGCTGAGGTAAAAATATTGACGTCGTACTTATTTTTAAATTTGTAAATTTAGCTGAAACATCTACTGTTTATATTTACCCCTTGTTTACATTTACCCCAAATGACCCTATTTACTTATTTTTCATATAGAATTCGAAAAAAATTGTTTTAGTTAAAAAAAAATTTTGAGTGAAAATTTCACGGAGAATGCCCCATATATAATTGAAAGACTCTTATTTTTAAAATATTATTTAAAAATATTTAAAAAAAAAATTATTTGAATCAAATAGTTTGAATTAATTGAATCAAATAATTTTCTTCAGTGTTTATTCAGGTTTTCCGTCAGTAGAAATGTTAATGATCTTTTAAAATATACGCAGATAAAATCGGAAAAAAATACTTAATTCTTCAAAAGGACAAATTTTAACGTTTTACAACTGCTAAATACATATTTGTATTGATTTTTTATTTTTAAACTGTAAATCTTATCATTTTTGAAGAATGCAAGTAATAAATATTTCAAGTTATAGCATTATTTTTGTTGAAGAAATATTTTTAAATTATTCAAAAATTATTTTACGAAAAAAGTAATTTTAAACAACTTGTGTTATTAAATAACATAAATATTGATTTATTTCTTAAAATGTTGCTATTTACGAGAATATTATGAAATAAAGATAATAGAAGAAAATTAAAATTATAAGTGAATTAATGATGGAAATTTACTAAAAGTTTTAAATCTTATTAATTAACGTTATATATAGAAGTTATTAAATAGCAGATAAGGCTTTAATATTTGATTTTTGACATACCGTATTTTCTCCAATGGCAGAAGTGATCAAAGATAAAAGTATCAAAATTTCCTTACTTCGGAACACCATTTTTGACATAGTAATGAACAATTTTTGTCTACGTATGCACTGATATATTTTTAAAGTAATATAATGCTTGCTGGAATGGAATATATGTCGTAAAGGGCAATAAATTTTCTAATCACGTTTATTTTATAATATTTTCATTTTTAAACTCCGAAGCCTATCTCATGCAAAAAAAAAACAGGAAATTTATAAAAAATTATATAAAGTTAGTCATTTTTTTGAAAAAATGCTAAATTGAAATAAAAAATAATTTATAAAAAAATTTCACAAAACTATATTTTTTAAAATTGCAGACTTTGCACTCGATAATTAATTTTAAAAAAGTAGCAAAAAGTAGCTTTCAAACTAAAAAAAAGAAGTAAAAGAGTAGCTTCCGAAAAATTAAACTAGATGACCAAAAAAATCGTTTTAGACACTTCACAAAACTGACAAAAATTCCATTCAATATTTTTTATTTTCCTGACTTTTTCCTAATTTTCATCAAAAATATTTACTTCTTTCTTATCCTGCTAATAAATTCAATCCCTGCAACGAATTTTAATATTCATAAAAGAATATAAATATTTAGAAAAATAATTTAATTTTTGAGAAGAATTTATAAAATTTTTAAATAATTGATTTCTTTCGACTAGTTTTATGCAAATTCTAATTTAAATAATTTAATTCCTGAGAAATTTTTATAATTTATGAAAAGAATTGAATTCTTACGAAGATTTTTACAAAAAATTTTTTTAAATAATTGAATTATGTTTGGAAATTTTTTGAAAATAGTAGATATTAGAAATCATTGAATTGCAAAAAGTTTTTAAACATAATTAAATTTTATAAAGAATTTAATTAAAATTTTTGACAATAATTGAATTATTGCGAAAAATTTCATTAAAATGTTTCAAAAGAATTAAATTTATGTGAAATATATTGTTATCTTTGAAACTATTTGAATTCTTTATAAGAATTTTGTAAACATTGATTTAAATAATTAATTTTTTTCGAAATGTAATATAAATATTATGAAAAATTTTCTTGTAAATAATTGAAATTCAGAGAAATTTTTATTTATGAAAATAATTGAATTTTGCAAAGAGGTTTATTAAACTGCCTAAAAATACAATTATTTTCGGAAACAATTTTGTTATTTATCGACATAATTAAATTCTTATGAAGAATTATTTATATAAATAATTGAATTCTTGGGAATTGAATTATTTCAAAAAAATCTAATCACAATTGTATTTAAAATAATTGATTTTTTCGAGAAATTGAAATTAAATTTTTAACAATAATTACTTTTTTTGAGCAATTCCTGTAAAATTGTATTAAAAATAATTGAAATCCTGCGATGAATATTATTATTTATGAAAATAATTGAATAGTTGCTAAGAAGTTTATTAACATTTTCAAAAATAATTGAAATCCTGAGAAGAATTATTTATGAAAATAATTAAATAATTCTTTATAAGACTGTTATATATATACATTGTGAAAATTTTATTTTAAATAATTAAATTTTGGTGGAAAACTTTATTTGTGAAAATAATTGAATTTTTTATTAAATAATTTGAAATAGTATTGAAAATAATTTAATTCTTAGAAATTAATCAATAATTTTTTTAAAAAATTGAATTTCTATGAAAAATGTTATTATTAGTGAAAGTAATTGAATTATTGTGAAAAATTGTATAATAATTTTTTTTTAAGTAATTGAATTCTTTTGAGAAATTTGATGAAAATACTAGATATTGAAAATAATTGAATTTGAAATATTTTTAAATACTTTCTCTATGAGGAAGCAATAATTGAATCGTTTTAAAGAATTTGAATATAATTTTAGAGAATAGTTTTTTGATTTTTAGTACACGAGAGGGAAAAGAAATTGTAAATTCCTTTTTCTTTACTATAAGGAATTGTAAAGCTTTTTTTCTTACAATTATGTGACAAGTAAACGGCAATGGAACAAGGGTAGATGAATAATAATAAAACCAGCATGTATTTTACTATTCGATTTTATTAACTATCAATTTCCTTTCTTTTTTTGATCCAGCTGAAAAATAATATGTTAAAAATAAATTCAGTAATTATAACAGTAAGTGTGTTTGCTTTGGGAGTTGCATTAATACTAAAGTAACGAAGAGTATTAATAGTAACGTAAAATAGATAGGTTCTGATTTTATAATTCTTTTTCTATTTTGATAAGCTCAGCGATGCCGTCGTGCATCTCCTTGACGGCTTGATATTCAGTGAGACCAAGTCGCCGCTTGTTGGAGATGTCGTAAATGCCACCTTCAGCCTCAGTGTGTTCGCCGCGTGTTCCGCGAACTTGAAGATTGAACTTGGATGCGACCTCCTCCAACTTTGCCTTGTTGGCCGCCAATTTCGGTACCTTGATGTGCACCGACGCGCGAACTGTCGTTCCCAAGTTGGTTGGGCAGAAAGTTAAGAAGCCTAGGCGATCGTTGTGAGAGAATGGCAATCGTTTCTCAATATCGTTCACGGCAGTCACCAAGCGGCGGTACACCTGGAGAAGAACAGATTTTATATTCATTATTATGCAGATCAACAACATTTATTCTAATCATAAAACTTTAATTATTTTTAACTGTAATTCTTTTGAAATTCAATTATTTTCTACAATTCTTTTAAACATGTGCAGACTTCGCACTCGATAATTAATTTTTAAAAAGTAGCTTTCAAACTAAAAAAAAATAGTAGATATTCACAAAACTGACAAAAATTCCATTCTATTTCTATTTTTATTTTCCTAACTTTTTCCTAATTTTCTTTTTCATTAAAAAAAATTTACTTCTATCTTATCATGCTAATAAATTCAATTCCTACAACGAATTTTATTATTCATCAAAGAATTTCAATATTTTTAAAAATAATTGAATTTTTGCGAACGATTTTATTAGAAGTTTTTTAAATAATTGAATTTTCAAGAAGAAATTTATTACTTTTAAAAATAATTGAATTCTTGTGATGAATATTGTTATTTATAAAAATAATGGAATTTGGCAAAGAATTTTATTAGAAATGCCTCAAAATAAATAAATTTTTGGCAATAATTTTGTTATTTATCGACATAATTGAATTCTTACGAAGAATTATTTTTGTAAATAATTCAATTTTATTTTATTTATTTTATTAAAATATTTGAAAATAATTAATTTTCTGTGACAAATTCTAATATTTTTGTAAATAATTGAATTCTTTCAAAGAATATAAAAAAACATTTTTTTAAATAATTGATTTTTTTCGAGGAATTGAAATTAAATTTTTAAGAAAATCTTACATTTTTTTAGCAATTCCTGTAAAATTGTATTAAAAATAATTGAAATCCTGCAATGAATTTAATTATTTATGAAAATAATTGAATAATTGCTAAGAATTTTATTAAAATTTTCATAAATAATTGAATTCCTGGGAAGAATTTTATTATTTATGAAAATAATAATTGAATTATTGCGAAAATTTTTATTAAAGTTTTAAAAAAATTGAATTTCTGTGAAAAATTTTGTTATTATTGAAAATAATTGAATTCTTTATAAGAATTTTATAAACCTTGTTTAAAATAATTAATTTTTTCGAAATACTTAATAAATATTATGGAAAATTTATTTCAAATAATTTGAATTCTTGTGGAAAGACTTTATTTGTAAAAATAATTGAATTTTTCAATTAATTAATTTAAAATAGTATTAAAAATAATTGAAATTCTTCGACGAGTTTTATTATTTATAAAAATAATTGAATTCTTGATTAGAATTTTATCAAAAATGTGTTTAAATAATTGAATTTCCATGAAAAATTTTATTAGTAGTGAAAGTAATTGAATTATTGTGAAGAATTGTATAAAAATTTTACGAGAATTCAATTATTTAAATATGAAAATAAATAAATTATTCTTGTAGAAAATTTTATTATTTATGAAAATAATTGAATTAATGCGAAGAAATTTGTAAATAATTGAATCCTCTAAAACTTTTATTATTTATGAAAATAATTAAAAGTTTGCGTAAAATTTGTATAACATTTTTTTTAAATAATTGAATTCTTTTGGAAAATTTTATTAAAATACTAGATATTGAAAATCATTGAATTGATGAAAGTTTTTGACAAAAAAGACAAAAAAAAAATTGAATATTTTCTTATGAATTTAATTTTTTCAGTTTAATTTTACGAAATTTCGATTTTTCGAAAGTTTTCTCATTAAACAATATATGATGGAAAATTCAGCTGATTTAAAAAAAAATTAGTCTATTTGAAGGGTACGCTACGCATTCTACTGAGTACAATTTTAGAGCATGCGCAAACTTTCCAATGTCAAAAGAAGAAGAAGATGCACGCGCAATGCTCGCTTTTGCTTTAAATTTGTTATTTTCTATGAACATGTCTGTTGATATTTTTGCCGTAAAAATGATACTTCTATTAATAAAATGAAAAAGCTCCACCTGTTAAGAGTATATATATATTACGTGCCAGACAAAGACATAAAATTTAAAGTGTATTTCTCGTGGGCATAATGCCAAATTGTTACTTTCTTCTTTATGTGCAAGAATTTACTTCTAATTAACAATAAATAACCAAAAATGTTCTATACTTTAGAGACAAACTATTATATCCCAACAAAACCAGTTACTCACTACTTATCTGGGATTATAAACTTCATTAACTCAAGGCTTTAAAATAATTTGTCTATAAACGAAAAAGAAAAAAAATTCGTTTTATTTAGTATTTTTCTGACCTTTCACTGATTTCTAAATTCAATTGTTCAAAACTTGAATAGGTTTTCGAAAATTAGAATAGAATACTTGAACAAAATCAATTATTTTCAATTAAGTTTCACAAAATTTCTATTATTCAAAATCTTTTTATGCGTATATTTCGAAAATTTAATTGGAAAAATTATTGAAAAATAATTTCTGAAAGATTTAACTATATTTATTTTTCACTCTAAGAAAAATCGAAATAAGTTGCATTTTATACTAAAAATGTGGTATTTTGTTGCAATATTTGGAAGAAAAGCATAAAAAGTTTCAATTTTATTTTTATTATTATTATTATTATTTATATAAGTACTTCAATTTGTACTCTAAAGTCCCAAGCCAAGAAATGAAAACTAGAAATATCTGTAATTTCTTGTCAACTCAGCATTTATTCAGCTTCATTAGGTTTGGATAAAAAAAAAGAATAAGTGACGAAAAATGCTCACGTGGGTGTGAGTATTGTAAAGTGTGCTTGGTAATCGAGCTAGAATGCTATCAAGTCGGCGATAATCGACTTATCCGGGTAGGTTACCCTACTTGGCACAAGGGAAGCCCTCGTATCAAATAAAAGAATCTTCGGAAGGATGTAATCCCTATCCGTGTCAATTCAACTTGTTTTAAGTCTGCCGCGAGAAGGTTGAGGGAAAACAAATAAAATAACAAGTATTAAACTGGGAAAAATGGAAAATCAGCAAAACAGCACATCAACTGTAAATTCAATTAAAATACAAAAATTATTTCAATGAAATTTGATAAAATTTTCAATTGTTTCAATTTTTTAAAATTACTTTTGGAAATAGAATTATTTAAAAAAAATTTTAATTACTTTTTCTCAAGAAACAAATTTTTTCGGTATTTCTAAATTAAATTATTAAAAAATTCCTAAAATTCCTGTTATAACGCTTTAAATATTCAATATTTTACAAAATTTTCCAATTGTTTCAATTTTTCTAAACTTATTTTCGGGAATTCGAGTAGGTATATCTTCAAAAAGTTTTAATTAACTATTTTTCAAAAACCTAATTTTTTCAAAATTACCAAATCAAATCTTTTAAATTTCAATCATTTTTGTAAAATAAATATTTAAATACTTATTTGTTCTTTATTTGCTTAAAATTTCGAAATACTTTCAATGTAAATCTATTTGAAAAAAATTTTTCTTATGAAATTTAAACTGTAAGTCTTCCAAAATTAAATTATTTTTTTTTAGAATTTTGTTAAATTTCATGAAAATTCTAATTAAAACAATGAGTGATTTTTTTTAAAACAATGAGTTTCATTAATAATTTAAATTAAAAATAATTTAATTTTATGAACAATTTCTTTCAAGTTTTTAAAACAATCGTGTTACTTAATAATTTAAATTAAACATTTAATTATTGAATTTTATTAAAATTTTAGAAAATAATTGAATTCATTTGAAAAATTTTTATAACGAATTAAGAAAAAAATTGAATTCTTTCGTGAAATTTTTTTTGAAAATAATTGATTTTTTGGAAAGAATTTTACAATTTATAAATATAATTGAATTTTTTCGAAGAATTCATTAAAATTTTAGAAAATAATTGAATTCTTTTGAAAATTTTATAACGAGTTAAGAAAAAAAATTGAATACTTTCGTGACATTTTTTTGAAAATAATTGAATTTTTGCAAAAATTTTACTATTTGAAAAAATAATTGAATTGTTTCAAAGAACTTATTAAAATTTTAGAAAATAATTTTCATCGTTCGTAAAATTATATTAAAGTTTTGTTTAAAAATAATTGAATTTTTGCAAAAAATTTTACTTTTTATAAAAATAATTGAATTCTTACGAAAATGTTTTTATTTATGAAAAGAATTGAATTCTAGAGAATTTTTATTAGAATTTTTAAAATTAACAAACAAGAATAATAATTAATTAGTAAATTAGTTAATAATTCAATTTTTTTTAAAGTTCCAATCTGAAATTATTCAAAAATTCATATTTGAATAAAAAAGTTTTTTAATTTGCATAATATGTAACAATAAATTGAATATCACGTTCCACACGTTGGCACGCGTAACATTTGATAGTTTCATAATAAACAAAAAACTAATAAAATTTGAAAAATTTTATTTAAAAATTTTGAAAAAGCGAGGTTTTAAAAAAATCTTAATTAAAATTTGTTGACAATATTTGATTTCCCGAAGAGAATTTTAAAAAAATTGGAAAAGAAACAGAATTTTCTCAAATTTCATTCTCTTGCTTGAAAAAATTATTATATTTTTTTTAAGAATCGTTACTAAAAATTTGGAAAATGATTAAATTTCTCAATAATTTTTGAATTTAAAAAATTTTAATTAGAATTTTGAAAAGTAAATGAATATCAAAAGTGTTATGAGAGAAATTTTCCGAAATATTTAAATTTTAAAAAGTTTTAAATTGAAATCTTTTTAACATTTTAATCGCCAGAAAAGTGTAATAATATTTAAAAGTTTATTTAAAAAAATTATATTATTTTCCTTTAAAAATAATCAAACTTTTGAATAATTTTATTCGAAAAAGTAATTGAACTTTGAAAGAATTACAGTTGTAATTTTAAGAAATAAGTTTTCAAAAGTTTTTACATTGATATTTGAAATTTCAATTAAAATAAATAATAGGTTTTTAAATTATTTGTTTGACAAAAATCATTCAAGTGTTGAATAGTTTAATGTAGAAAAAAATGAATTTTTTTGTTGAAAAATTGTAATTAAAATTGTTTTGAAGATCCAAAAATAAAGAAAAAAAATTGGAACAATTAAAACTTTTGTCAAATTGCATTGAAATAAATGTTATATTTGAAGGAATTTATTTTTAATCTTTTTGAATTTGTTGAAGGAATTTAATTTTTTTTACTTTTCAAAAATTGCTTTGTATATTTTGTTAAACGTTTTTTTTTCTTTAATTATTTTTATTACCTGTCCAAGATCACCTCCCATTTGCATGGAGATAATTCTAAGATGATCTTCTTCGTTGCACCAAACGAGGAAAGTTTTAGCATCGTTGTGGTAAATACCACGTCCAGATGGCCAATATCTGCAAGCATTGGCGGCTTGAAGGAAACGATCGCCTTCTTTGAACAGGAAATGATCGTCGATTAATTTTTGTTGAACATCTTTGCTCATTCCTGTCAAGGGATAGAATGTTCCCTTCAATTCATTCTCAAGTCCGGAAAGAGTGCTGGAGACCTTCTCCTCCATCTCTTTGTATTGAGCCTCAGTCAAGCATGGATTGAAGGGGTAGCCTTCCAATGAGCGACCGCATCTCACACGTGTAGACACGATAAACTCGCCCTGGAAACAAATATTTTAAACTCGATTATAAATATTGCAACTTATCAAAATTAATACCAGTTAATAATATTAATATAACCACAATGTAAAAAAGTACACCTTTTTTATATTTTATATTTTTCGTTTAAATTCAGTTTTTAAAAGAACATATTTTTAAATATTTAAATACAAACGTCGGTTTCATTTAGTCGATTAAAAATTGATCTTCTGTTACAATTTTTTATATTTTTCAGGGCCAATTTTTTTCATGCATATTTTACAATTTTAAACAACTTCTCTCATGGATTTGCAATAATATGCAATAGCAGACTTCGCACTCGATAATTAATTTTAAAAAAGTAGCTTTCAAACTAAAAAAAAGTAGTAAAAAAGTAGCTATCGAAAAATTAAACTTGATGACCAAAAAAAATCGTTTTAGAATCTTCACAAAACTGACAAAAATTCCATTCAATATTTTTTATTTTCCTCACTTTTTCCTAATTTCCATAAAAAATATTTACTTCTTTCTTATCCTGCAACGAATTTTATTATTCATGAAAGAATTTCAATATTTATAAATATAAATAAATTCTTGTCAAGAAGTTTACAAAATTTTTTAAATAATTCATTTCTTTCGAATGATTTTATTAGAATTCCAATTTAAATAATTAAATTCCTGAGAAATTTGTATTTTTTATGAAAATAATTGAATTTCTAAGAAAAAATGCATTACTTTTAAAAATAATTGAATTCTTGTGATGAATATTGTTATTTATGAAGATAATTGAATTTTGTAAAGAATTTAAAAAAATTCCTCAAAATAATTGAATTTTCGGGAATAATTTTGTTATTTATCGACATAATAAATTGAATTCTCGAGAAGAATTATTTATGTAAATAATTGAATTCTTGAGAAGAATTTTTTTTAAATCTAAAATAATAATTGAATTATTTCAAATAATTTTATCCAAATATTTGAAAATAATTGAATTCCTGTGAAAAACCCCAATATTTTTGTAAATAATTGATTTTTTCGAGAAATTAAAATTAACTTTTTAAGAATAATTACATTTTTACATTACATTATTTTTGAAAATAATTAAATAGTTGCTAAGAATTTTATGAAAATTTTCAAAAATAGTTGAATTACTGAGAAGAATGTTATTATTTATGAAAACAATTGAATTATTGAGAAAAATTTTGTTATTTTTGAAAATAATTGAATTTTTCATAAGAATTTTATAAACATTGTTTTAAATAATTAATTTTTTTCGAAATATAATAAATATTATGAAAATTTAATTTAAAATAACTGAATTCTTGTGGAAAATTTTATTTGTGAAAATAATTGAATTTTTCAATTAATTAATTAATTTAAAATAGTATGAAAAATAATTGAAATTCTTCGATGGGTTTTATTATTTATGAAAATAATTGAATTCTTGCTTAGAATTTTATCAAATATGTTTTTTTCATTATTTTAATATAAAAATTAAAAAAGAAACTGATAGATTTAAAGTTGTAGAAAAAAATTAATTTTCTCTCAAAAGTTATGAAAATGAAATTACTACCGCCAAATGGACAACTCTCTTTAAAGCTTATTAACTCAAACAATAAGTTGGGAAGTTCAAACGAAAATCATAGAAGAGGTTGTAAAATTCTGCGTCCAATGGCATATAGATAAAAATTTTACTGCCTATCAAGGAGATTTTAGTGTCACTTCACAAGTTTGGAGCAAAAATGCAGAAACTTTTGCTTTTCGTGCCATATGTTTCACCAATCGCACAAACTAAAAGTATTGTTGGAAGAATTTAAAGAAATTTAAAGAATTATTATTTTTCTATAAGAATTAAGAATTTTAAAAATTTCAAACTTTTTATAATTCAAAAATTTATATAAGAATTGCTACAGTAATTTCTCAAAAATTATTAAACAAGTAAAAAAAATTTCTATAATTTTTTGTCACTTTCACATTTTCACCAGAAAGAGTCGCAAATTTTCTCATTTTTAATCGTTAAAAAATTACAGAAAATAAAAAAATATATTTTTATTACAAGAATATAATAATATTCTTTACCAATTTGTTTAAAATATTTCAATAAAAATTTTTTATTTAATTGTCGATTTACTATCTTTAAATTATAAAGCGTTTTTGTATCACAAATGATAATCTTTAAACAAATCTTAAAATTTGAAAAAAAAGTAGGTAATATATGAAATGTATATGAAATATAAATACGAAATTATTTTTAATAAAAAATATTTTCTTCAATTAAACGTTCGAAACTGGTAAATTATATCTTTTTTCATTATTATTTTGATTGTTAGGTGAAAAATATGATGGCCAAAAATTTAATAAATATCTTTCTTTTAATAATTTAGTAGGATTAAAAAGAGTATTATTCAATCTTTTGTTATCAAATTCAAGGTGATTTTAAGATTTTCAAGATAAAAATAAAATTCAAGGTAGCTCGACATTCTTTCTAATGCAAATTCCATTAAATGAAAATTTTGTTTCACTTAAAATTGTTTTCAATTGTAATTCAATTGTATAACAATTGTGTTAAATAAAAATCAGATAGCATAAAAATTCTGTTCTATATACAAATAATAGGGATCATAGTGGAATAATTTTGTTATTTATCTTTAATAATTAAATTCTTTCGAAGAATTATTTATGGAAATAATTGAAATATTGGGAAGAATTTTATTAAAATCTAAAAGAAGAATTGAATTATATTAAAAAAATTAAAATCAAATTGTATTTCAACTAATTGATTTCATTCCAACAATTTTATTAAAATACTTGAAAATAATTGAATTCCTGTGAAAAATTCTAATATTTTTAAAATAATTGAATTTTTCCAAAGAATGTAAAAAAAAACTTTTTTTAAATAATTGATTTTTTGAGCAATTGCAATTAAACTTTGAAGAATAATTACATTTTTGTGCAATTCCTGTAAAATTGTATTAAAAATAATTAAAATCTTGCGATTAATATTATTATTTGTGAAAATAATTGAATAGTTGCAAAGAATTTTATTAAAATTTTCAAAAATAATTGAATTCCTGAGAAGAATTTTATTGTTTATGAAAATAATTGAATTATTGCGAAGAAATTTATTAAAATGTTTAAATAGAATTGAATTTTAGTGAAAAATTTTGTTATTTTTGGAAATAATTGAATTCTTCATAAGAATTTTATAAACATTGTTTTAAATAATCAATTTTTTCGAAATATAATAAATATTATGAAAATTTTATTTTAATTAATTGAATTCTTGTGGAAAACTTTATTTGTGCAAATAATTGAATTTTTCGATTAATTAATTTAAAATAGTAATAAAAATAATTGAAATTCTTTGTTGAGTATTATTATTTTTGAAAATCATTTAATTCATGCTTAGAATTTTATGAAATTTTTTTTTAAAAAATTGAATTTCTATGAAAAATGTTAATTGAATGAAAGTTAATTAAAAGTAATTGAATTATTGTAAAGAATTGTATAAAAATTTTGTTAAATAATTGATTTTTTCGAAATTTTTTTGAAAATGTTATTAGAAATTAATTGAACTTCTGTGGAAATTTTATTACTTATCAAAAAAATTATTAAATTTTAAATGAATTTTATCAATTTCTTTTAAATAATTGAATTATTTTGCGAAATTTTCTGAAAATACTAGATATTAAAAATAATTGAATTTTGAATATTTTTTGAAAATAATTGAATCGTATTGAAGAATTTGATTATAATTTTTAAGAATAGTTTTTTTATTTCTAGTATTATAGTGAATTTAAAGTAGTGAAAATTCTTAGAAAAAAACAGAATTAGTAGCTTTTAGTGGCTGAAATCTAAAAAAAGGAGAAAATTTATGATTTTTAGACGTTTTAGGAGATTTTATTAATTTAATGGGATAAAAAAGGGGAAAAGAGGAAAAAAATGGAATTAAGTAAAAAAGGCGACTAACTATGATCCTTGAAATAATATAAAAATTCGGCTTCAATTGTTGAAAAATGAGAAGAAATGAAAAATGTATTACTGAAAGAAAATTCTGAAAATAAATAAATATTAACAAAAAAATAATTAAAAATGAGTAAAATTCACAAAGTCTACTTACAGTTGGGTCGAGATTTCCAAGAGTATCAACATCTCCAAAATCTTTGGGTGGATGCTTGTCGGTCTTCTTGAATCCACCATGATAATCTTCGATGATTGGGTCAAAGAGATCGGCGAAAAGAGTGTAGGATTCAGCGTCAGGTGCGTAGATGCCAACTCCTGAGTCGGGATTTTCAACGCCAGATTGAATCACGTCCAATAGAGAAGAACCAAATGAAGTTTTCTTCGTTTTCAATTGATCGAACACCTCCTTCGTCAGATATTTTTTAAGCAATGATTTACTGTCCGAAGCAGCAAGCTTGGAAAAACCAGCTTCCAATTTATCGAGCACTGCTTGATCCACCATGTTGCTTTTTTTACTGCAAAGTACAAGAAAAATTCCATGTTATTAACGAACTCAGGTTGACGCAATTCTCTTAAAAAATAATTTAACTTATGTGAATTATATGAGTCTATTTTAAATAATTCATTATTTAATTTTATCTTTTTTCCTAACCTTAAAGAATATTCTGATTCACTCTAAAAATTATTAGATTCTAAAAAAGTTCTATTACATTTATTTACGAATTTATTTAACAGTACAATTATTCGAAAACATCAATAACTTCTTTTTTAAATAAATATTTAATCATTATTTTTCCATAGGAATTAAAATTCTTCAAAACATTCAAATTCAAACCTTTTTGAAATTAATTTAGAACTACTTTGGAAAAGTTGAGAAATATTTCATAAGAAAAAAATTTTCAGGTAAATCGCTGTTCAAAAAAAATCTCTTTTAATGTTGACGGCTACTTAACGATTGTACATACAATTATGCAATTATAACGTTGATTTTTTTTTATTTTAAGACAAACAACGATGAATTTGCAAAAAAAGCAGTACAAACTGCCTTTTTAGATTCGACAAAAAGAATTGCTTTGAATGCAACAGTGAAATTACAAAAGTGTGTTCTATAAGAATGAGACTTCAAAGTAAACAATTGAAAAATAATTAAAGTCATTACATAATTTTCTATTGCTGTAAAAGGATTATAAATTTTCTTGCTTAAAAAAATAAATACTATTTTATAATCAGTAAATTATTTATCAAAAAAAAAATTGAAGCTTTCGTCAATTTTAATAAAAATTTTTCAAAAATCTAAAATTCTGATATGAATTTAAATAAATTCTATTCTATTTCATTTTTTTATTTATTGAAATAAATCGGACAGGATTATAATTTGAGGAAAATAGAAAAAGTGGCAAAATTTTGTATTAATTATTAAGGAATCTAGAGGAAGTTTTTCTTGCAATTAGTGAGTGCATGTTTTACAAATACACTTAATATAAATGTCAAGCACCACATTCTTGAAGTGCCTTTAATAAAATACATTTACACACGCTTTCAACAATATTAATACCCCTGATTAGAACACATACGCCCAAGGCATAATAGATTCTTGAGCGAGAAGGGGAGCGAAGAATTAGAGAATGATGAACATACATCGGCGCGACTTCTTATCCCATATAGATGATTTACTAGAATATTTGCGAGATATTATTTTATTTCTCAAAACATCACTTTAGTATAATTTTAGCTCTAAAAAATAATTGTAAGACAGAATGCTTATAGGTAAATAATGTCTTATTAAGTAATGAATCATTAATAAAATTTTAAGTAAAAATACTTTTTAAACAACATAAGTCTTAATTGAAAGAATTTTTTAGAATAAGAATAATAATTAAACAAAAATATCTTTAAAACTAAAATAGATTTGAACGATATTTTATAGAAAAAGATTACAATTTGTAAAAAAATTTGTTAAGCAAATATTTAAAGTCTCAAATTCTTTGTTTAATAGAATATTTATGTGCCAATCTTTCAATTTTCAAAAAATCTTATTTATTGGAATATATGTTTAAATAAACTATTATTAATACAATGTATTTAGAAAAAATGATATATGAAAAAATGTATAATTTAATTAACTCTTGTATGACAAAAATTTTTCTTAGGCAAATGGTAATTTTATAGAATGTTAATTAAAAAGAATATTAATTTACAAGAAATGAAAGTGAAACGAATTCTACTTTAATAGAATACTTAAATGTCTGAATTATAATTTGGCAGCATGTCAATTCGATCGATTTTATATTTGTAAGAAATTCAATTTGACATAACATCAATTTATAAGAAACACTTTTTCGTAGAATTTTAATTTATCAGAATTGTAATTTTGTAGAATATTAATATTGCCAAATCTAATTTTAGTAGAAATCTGCTTTATCAGAATGATCAAATGTTCGAATCCCCAAAATTTCTAATTTCATTTCTACCCAAAATCAATGTGACATAAATATTTGGCGCAAATTTTAAAAATTTAATTTCTGATTGGTCAATTTTTAAATTTGCGCCAAATATTTATGTCACATTGATTGTAGGTAAAAATGAAATTAGAAATTTTAAAGATTCGAACATTTGATCATTCTGATAAAGCAGATTTCTACTAAAATTAGATTTGGCAATATTAATATTCTACAAAATTACAATTCTGATAAATTAAAATTCTACGAAAAAGTGTTTCTTATAAATTGATATTATGTCAAATTGAATTTCTTACAAATATAAAATCGATCGAATTGACATGCTGCCAAATTATAATTCAGACATTTAAGTATTCTATTAAATTAGAATTCGTTTCACTTTCATTTCTTGTAAATTAATATTCTTTTTAATTAACATTCTATAAAATTACCATTTGCCTAAGAAAAATTTTTGTCATACAAGAGTTAATTAAATTATACATTTTTTCATATTCATTTTTTCTAAATAATACATTGTATTAATAAAAGTTTATTTAAACATATATTCCAATAAATAAGATTTTTTGAAAATTAAAAGATTGGCACATAAATATTCTATTAAACAAAGAATTTGAGACTTTAAATATTTGCTTAACAAATTTTTTTACAAATTGTAATCTTTTTCTATAAAATATCGTTCAAATCTATTTTAGTTTTAAAGATATTTTTGTTTAATTATTATTCTTATTCTAAAAAATTCTTTCAATTAAGACTTATGTTGTTTAAAAAGTATTTTTACTTAAAATTTTATTAATGATTCATTACTTAATAAGACATTATTTACCTATAAGCATTCTGTCTTACAATTATTTTTTAGAGCTAAAATTATACTAAAGTGATGTTTTGAGAAATAAAATAATATCTCGCAAATATTCTAGTAAATCATCTATATGGGATAAGAAGTCGCGCCCATACATCACTGTCATTTCTTATCACTGGCTTTCCGACTCCCCACAATTCTTTCTATATTAACCTATAGAAGAAATATTCCCCCACCCCCAAAAAAAGTCAGCTTATTTAACTTTAATTTATAATAATAATTAATAATATATTACTGCAGGCTTCACAGTGCCCCTAAAAGTATTTTAGGGGAAATAGGGGACTGAAAATTAAAAAATAGGGGACTTTTAGGGGACCATAAAAATTAGTTAAATAAAGATAAAAATATAATTTATATTTATACAGGGTTGTCACAAAAATTTAACTTTATTTTTCCCTGACTTTTCCCTGACTTCCAAACACAACTTTCACTTTTTTTCTGACCCTAAAGAATATTCTGATTCACTCTCAAAATTATTAGATACTCAACAAAATTTTCTATTAAATTTATTTACAAATTTCTTCAAAAGTCAAATTATTCGAAAACATCAATAACTTCATTTTTTAAATAAATATTTCATCATTTTTTTTTCATTGGAATTAAGATGTTCAAAAATTTCAAATTCAAACCTTTTCAAATTGAACAACTCATAAGAATATTATTATAAAACATAAAGATGACTGACTGACAAAATAATTATTTTATTATTATAAGAATATTGTTACTGCAATTTTTTCAAAATTATTTGTTTCAATTCAATTAACATTTTCTAGAATTTAGAACTAAAATTCTACTTTAAATTAATAACATCAATTATTATTCAATTAAACTTTTTCAAAAAAAATTAATTCTACTGAATTGTTAGCTAAAAGTACGAAAAACAATAATTTAATTCTACGAGAAATCAATTATTTAAATACAAAACTAAATAATATCGAATGTTTTTTAAAATTTAATTTTTACGAAGAATAAAATTGTATTAACAATTTTTGGAAATATTTAATTTCTTTTAAGGAATTTAATTGAAATTTTAATGAAATTTATTATATTAAAGAATTTTATAACAATTTTTGAAAATAATTGAAAACTTTTTCAAGAATTTTATTGAATTTTTTAAAAATAATTGAATTCCTGAGAAGAATTTAAATAATAATTTTTGAAAACAATTGAATTCATGAGAAGAATTTTATTAAAATTCTTGAAAATAATTGACTTCTTGAGAAGAATTTTTAAAAAATGTTTGACAATAATTTAATTCTTGAGAAGAATTTTTCCTATCTATATTTATAAAGATAATTTAATTTTTGACGAGAATTTTTAAAAAATTTGATATTTTTATCAAAATAATTGAATTTTGAAAAATAATTTTATCATTAAATTTCTTAGAATAACTGATTTTATGGGAAGAATTTATGCGATTTTGTTGTTTATCAAGCTAATTGAATTCTTTTGCAAAATTATTTAAAAATTTTTGAAAATAATTCATTTTCTGCGACGAATTAAATGTTATTTATGAAAATATTTGAAAATATTTGAAAATATATGAAAATATTTTCATAGAATTGTATAAAAAAGTTTTTTCTATAATTAAATCTGTTGATAAATTTTATGAAAATAGTAAATATTTAAAAACATTGAATTGTGAAAAACTTTTGAAAGTAATTGAAATTTTGCAAAGAATTTTATTTAAATTTTTGAAAATAATTGAATTTTTGGCGAAAAATGTTGCTATTTATAAAAATAATTGAATTCTTGACGAGATATTCATTAAAATTTATAAAATTAATTGAATTCGTGCAAAGTATTTTATTAAATTTTGTTTAAATAATTGAAATTTTGCCAAGAATTTAATTAAAATTTTTGACAATAATTGAATTCTTAAGAAGAATTTTGATATTTATTAAAGTAACTGAATTTTGGAAAAGAATTTCATTAAAAATCGTTAAAATAATTGATTTTATGGGAACAATTTTGTTGGTTATCAAGATAATTGAATTCTTTTGCAGAATTGATTAAAAATTATTGAAAATAATTGATTTCCTGCGACGAAAAAAATAGGGTCAGATTGGCGGTATTTTTTTAAAAAAGATTCTAACTTTAAAAAGTACTTTGATTCTTTAAAAATTCCAAACTATATTTTTGGGTGTTGAATTTTTGACTTTAAAATTGATCTTGCGACAAGCTTCGTACAATCATC